ACTTCGTCTAGGGGTTTCCAAGGCTGTACATCTCTGCCAGTAGACAGCCTCATCTTTCTCCCTCAGAGTGGCTGATGGATTTGAACCAATGACCTTGTGGTGAGCAGCCCAATGCCTAGCCAACACACCATCCGGGCTCCCCCGTGTTGGGACAGTGGTTGGAAGCCATGGGACGGGATGGGTCTCAGTCGTCTCTCTCAACTGGTATTTGCTGGCCTCCATTGGAGACGCTTTCTAACCTATTGATGTGAAGCTTAGCGCTCAGCGAATGTAGCAATTTTGGGATAAGAACGGCTAAGAATGGGATGGGGGGAACAGGTTCTGACTGCCGCTTCCATGAGAATCGTGACTGTTTGTCACGCAAACTCCGCCAGTCCCATCATTCACACACCGGAATCTGCATTTCTCAGAAAACCCTCGGACATCAAACCTCACGTGTCAGAGGGTGATGGGGATTAAAAAGTGCAGACATCCTGAGACTTGCTCTGAAGTAAGTTTGCCTGGAGGAGGTGGCCTGGCAGAGAAACAGTATCCCGGTCAGTGAAAGGGGGCTTGGGGGGCAGAGGAGGGAGTGATGCATGCAGCGGAGACTCACAAGGGGCTCCTGAGATGGGCTTTGAGGGCTGCGTAGGAGCTCAGCAGAGAACAGGTAGAAGGGACAACAGTAACAAGGGCAGGAAAGCATGAAGGGTGTGGGGTGTTTGGGGGGAGAGAAGCAAGCGAGCCTGGGGGTGCGGGAAATTGTGAACTACACATCCCTGGTGGGGTAGGAAGTGAGGGGGCATGGTGGAGCCAGACGAGGGAACCCCAGAGGTTGTCTTCTCTTGTTGAGGCGGGCAACGGGCGGTACCACCTGTGGGCAAGCTGTGTTTTGGAGCGAGTCGCTCGAACTTTCACGCACCTACATGATTATGCACATTCACAGCCGGGTTACAGGGCAGAGCGTGTCGGGGGTGGGCCCCGAGTTGCTGCACCCCCAATGGGCTCCTTAGCCGAGGCTGCTGGGCTGTGGGCCACACGTGAAAACCGGGTCAACAGCGCAGCAAACGAACGGACCTCATGACTGTGATGGGAGAGCCGAGCAACGGACACAAGCAAAACGGGGCTGCCCTGAACCCCAGGCAGTGAGTCCGGGCCTCGGGGGGCGCTCATGGGGTGTGGTGACGGGTGGGGTCGAGGGACCCTGCATACCGAGGTCCAGTCGGTGCGGGTCTGCCACTCGCTGCAGATCTTCAGCTGGCAGGTGCTGGCGGTCTCCGGCTTCTCCAGGTGCTGGCAGCGGTAGGGCTGCACCGTCAGGCTGCGGTTGGCATATACCTGGCGGCACAAGACCTGGCGGTGCTGCATGCCCAGGCCACAGGTTTTGCTGCACTCAGACCATTCTCCGATGTCCCAGCTGGCTCAGGAAGGAGAGAGCAAGAGGGCAGGTTAA